TTGGAGAGCGAGTCAAGGCAATATGCTGGGATTTCGGGGTCCTTTTCTGAGACGAATTTTGGCATATCGATCCGGCACGAGCAAGCGCAGCTGCCTACGCTGTTCTGCGACAAAGAAGATTACGGGGCATTCTCGGAATGGGCTGTAAAAAAAAAATGGGAAAAAAAAAAAAAAGGGAATGTTGGATGAGACCAAATAAAAAAAAGGGGTATAAAAGAAGGGGTGAGGGCGAAGTCCGAGGAGAATTAACTTCCACTTCAAACGGTATACAAACGAAAGACTTACCCAATTAAATTTTTCCAAGTTTGTTTTGGTGTTTTTACCCCTTCAACTTTTCCCCTCTAACAAAACCGTTAAAAAAACTCGCCCGGAAAAAATACTGCACCACTTGTATAAGTTGTAACTCGGCAACTGTCAATCACAGACTAATCCGCAGCTTAGGCGTACGCGTCAATAAATACTCGTAAGTTGGTAATTTACCTGTTAATTTGGTTATCCTTTTCTTTTCCCTACATACAGGTAGTGCACGTGTCGATGATGCAATTTTACGACATTTGGTAACCCTTTTTAGAAGGGTCTTTTTTTTGGGGGTTTTTGGGTTGTTTTTAATGTGTAGGGTTGCGCAGGTGTTCGTATTATTACTATTGTTTATTTTTAGGAATTTTTAAAAATATCAAGGTATCTAGGTTTTAAATTTTTCCTTATAAATTTAAGGAGTTTTGGAGTGGTAGATGGGGAGGTCCGTTTTCAAATAAAAATAAAAAACTTAGGAAGGTCGGCCATTAATTATTTATTGTATTATTTTAATTTATTTTTTTTTTTTTTTTTTTTTTTTTTTGTTATTCTATATTAAGGGTCGAAGGCTTTTTATTTTACATTTCTTTTTTATACAAAAACAGTCATAGCTTGGTTGGTGTTTGCCTTTCTTTATTTTTTTTGTCCTATTTATTGTCTGCCGGGTGGTAAAGCTGCGGCTGGCCCAAGCTAGCTTCCTTTCTTTTTTTATGGTTCCTTAATTGGATTGTAATTTTTTTTTTATTTCTGATACGTGGAGAAGTTTACGACTTACCAAAAAAATATTCTAACAGCAATTCAGTGATCGCAACTATTTAATTTGCTTTGTCTGCACTGAATTCCCTTTTTCCTACTCTTTATTCTTCCATATCGATTTTGAACGTTAGGAATAAACCTGGAGAAAGCTTTTAGTTCATTCTGTGAATGACTTTTGCACCGGTTATTCTGGCAAACGTTTTGAATAAGACATTTTCTAAAATCTCACGAAGTTATCGATATTGTATTCCCGCTTTTATTCAGGAGTATAAAGTGGAATTCAATTGCCCTGCTTTATCCCGATAAATAGTGGATTCGACAGAGAGAAAAATCGTTGAGTATTTTAGTAAAATTCCTTTATACTTCCCAATTCCTTTAAAAGAGTTCGTTAGGTGATCGTTGTTCATGGACGTTAATCATGGTTTCCGGATAAAATATATATTTGAAAAACTATCTGTCTTTACAAAATTCTCTAACCCTTAGAAAAAAAAAATAAAATATTTAAAATAAATTTAAAATAAAACCCAATAATGGATGAACCACAAAACAGCATAGAATTAACAGAAAATATTGAATGTTTTCTTTGTCTCAAAGAAATTGCATATACCGCACAACTGTTGTCTACTAATTGTAACCATACGTTTCATTGGGCTTGTTTTAATACTAAAGTAGGCAATAGGGAAATCTGTCCTGTCTGCAGGTCTCCATTACAGACTGCTTTGATGAGTTTGACCGTCAACACTGATTTAAATCAAAGTGGGCAAACCGCACCCAGACATTCAGTCGGAAGAAGCAATCCAAATATTATTGAGACTTTAGAAAACGAAGACCAGGAAAACACAATGGAAGGTATAGGAAGTCCATCCGAATCTTTGAAAACAATGCAAGAGGCTTTGACCAAAGTCATGATTGAGGCATCAGCACGACAAGCTGAGATTTTGTCGCAGACCTTGCAATCGCAACTTCAGAATCTTATGTCCGCATTGTCTCTTAAAGATAGCCATAGGGGAACTCAAATACTCAAAATCAGGTTCGTGCTTTACCTAGTGGTTCCAATACCCTTCAAGGTGATAAGGAATCTGCTAACCAGTGTAGTTCTTATGCTTCTGAAAGTCGTCTGCTTAACCAATCTAGATCGTCGCAAGCAAAGAGATGGAGAATCGTTCGATGAATTTTATGAGTCCATCCTTAGATTGTCTGATAAGCTAACTGTTCCATTGTCCGATTCAGCCATGCTAGAGTCCGTCCGTTCAAATTTACTTCCAGAAATACAACACGAGTTACTGTATCAACAAATATTCAGCACTGCGCAACTTCGTCACATAGTTCGCACTCGCGAGTCGTTTATGCAGTCAGTGCCTCAACAAGATGTTGTTAAACCACGACCAGCTCCTCGTCGACATGTTCACGAAGTTCAAACCGAAACAAAAGAATCTGATGAATCCGAATGTGATGAACCAGACATTTCGGCAATGAATGTGACGTGCTGGAACTGTGGCAAAGGTGGACATACGTATCAACAATGTCTAGAAGAAAGACGTCTCTTTTGCTGGAGCTGTGGCCTAGTAAACGACCACAAATCGTCATGCCCAAAATGTAGTCAGTCAAAAAACTACTCAGCCCGTGTACCACAGAAAGGTGCACGCAGACAAGTGGCGTCGAAAGCGACGAATACAGATTAAAGTCCACCATTATATCTCCATCAAGTACCCCAGACTTTTCACATATCCCTGACATTCCTTTACACAAACGTTCTTTCAGAGAAACACCTATTATTAGACACACAAATAAAAGAAAAGTTCGATCAAAGTTACGAATCAACGAATTCTACCATAAATGTAGGCTGGAAAACCAGGCGTTGTTATCAGCTATTGTCGCGCCTGATCAGCGACCTTATGCCAAAGTAATTCTTTTGGGTAAAATTTTTCGTCCTTCGTTCGAACTGCAGATGGTAATAAACAAAATATCGTCGGAAAATTAAGCACAAATGTTCAGTTTGATGGACAAACAAAGCCCATAACATTTTATATTATTCCGTCATTAATACAGTCATTGTATCTGGGCATTGATTTTTGGACCAAGTTCGAGCTACTTCCATCTAAGCTAGTTCCATTTATTAATGCTACTAATGTTGATACACAGGAGAAGGTATTAAAAGAAGTAATCCGTATGTTTCCTTCCTTCACTGAAAAAGGATTAGGTAAAACCCATCTTCTATCCCATAAAATCGATGTTGGCAATGCCACACCCATAAAGCAACGTCACTATGCTGTGTCTCCAGCTATTGAAAAGTTATTGTTTGATGAATTGGATCGCATGCTTTCACTAGGTGTGATTGAAGAATCGGAAAGTTCATGGTCTTCTCCGGTTGTACTCGTCCGCAAACCTGGCAAGGTGCGTCTATGCATAGATTGTCGAAAAGTGAACGAGGTGACCAAAAAGGACGCTTACCCCATGCCTCTCATCGATTGTATTCTTAGCCGACTTCCAAAGGCCGAGTTCATAACGAGTCTCGACTTAAAAGACGCGTACTGGCAAATACCATTGGATCCCGATTCCCGCGACAAGACGGCCTTCACCGTGCCTGGCCGGTCTCTGTATCAATTTACAGTAATGCCTTTTGGTATGACCAATGCCCCGGCGACGATGTCTAAGTTAATGGACAGAGTTATTCCAATTTCATTAAAGAACGAAGTCTTTGTCTACTTAGATGACCTTTTAATAGTTTCTGAGACGTTTGAAAGACATGTGGAAGTGCTAAAGGCAGGTTTAACTATAAATGTGGGAAAAAGTAATTTCTGTGTAAAAGAAGTTAGCTATTTGGGTCATATAGTAGGTAACGGAAAAATCACTATGGATGCAGAAAAAATCACTGCCATTGTTAATTATCCAGCACCTCGTTCTGTTAAGCAGCTACGTCGCTTCCTGGGAATGACGGGATGGTATCAAAAATTCATCTGAAACTTTGCTTCTATCGCCACTCCGTTAACAGATGCCCTTCGTCAAAATCGTAAGTTCGAATGGACACAAGAAGCTGAGGATGCCTTCCAGTTACTTAAAAACGAAATGTGCAAGGCTCCAGTACTTCACACTCCCAATTTCAATGAGCCCTTTTATCTGCATTGTGATGCAAGTCACACCGGAGTTGGGGGAGTGCTTATGCAAATTGATCCTGAAGGTAATGAGGTTGCTGTAGCGTATATGTCCCGCAAACTTAATCGGTGCCAAAGAAATTACTCTGTTACCGAGAAAGAGTGTCTAGCAGCAGTGTTGAGTATTAAGAAATTTCGTGCCTATGTCGAAGGTCATGCTTTCACCGTGATAACTGACCATGCGTCATTAAAATGGCTTATGTCACAATCGGATCTTAGTAGTCGACTAGCTAGATGGGCATTAAAATTACAGGGTTACCAGTTTACTATTCAGCATCGTAAGGGTAGTAAGAATATCGTTCCAGATGCCTTATCTCGAACGTATACAGAAGATTTATCAGAACTAGATAGTAACAAGTTGATCGATATACAGTCTCCTCATTTCCAATCTGAGGCATACAGAGTCCTGCAGGATAAAATTAAGGAAAATTTTGATCGTATTCCTGATATCAAAGTCATCGATGGCTACATATATCGTCGAACAGAGCATGCTTCTGGTGACAGGATAGCTGATGACCTTGTTTGGAAACTGTGGCTTCCTCTGGAGTTAGTGCCTGTAGCTTTGCGAATTGCGCATGATGACCCACTATCGTCACACTGTGGCATAAACAAAACTTTAGAACGACTACGCCGTTTTTACTATTGGCCTAACTTAGTAAAAGACGTAAGAGATTATATAAATCGCTGTGAAATTTGCAGGTGCACAAAAAGTTCAAACAAACCGTTAAGACCTCCTTGTAGAGAGGGCTTGTTCGAGCTCCCATCCGCAAAGTATGCAGTTGTTTTTTTTGGTTTTTTATTTGGTTTATTTGGTTTATATTTTGCATAAATATTCTGTTAAGATCGGGTGGCGCCATCTAGGTTCGAAGCCGACTGGCAACCTAAGGATCAGCTGTCCCTTTTGACAAATCGTCTGTCAGTGTCAGTGTCACTGTCATTTTTCCTTCGAGAGAGAGGCTTATTTCCGGCTTCGGCTCACTTACACTCTTACGGCTCCAAGCCAAGTCTTTTCCATTTGGCAGCCAACGAGACCAGACGTCTCAGTTTAACAAGAAAACAAAAGGTGACTACCAACAGAAGCAAATTGTAAGTTTTTTTTTTTTTGGTCTTGAGAACTCTTCGATCGCTAACCAAAAACATAATTTAGATAAAGCTTAAAGCTCAAAGCTGAGGAAACTGCAGAGGAGGAGATCATTTGCTGGTTTCTTTTTGGTTTTGCTAGTGAACAAAAAAAGGAAAAACTACTATCCACTGCCACGTGCCAGGTCCACCCAGGGTAAATATAAAAATATATTCGTCGCCTCAAGTGTTCCTAGTCCTAATTTTCTCTTCGACTTAAAAAAACCAATCCAGGGCTTGGCAGCGGAATTTTTTTTGTATGCAGAGGTTAAGGCCGTCCTGGGAAAAGTCAGCAGCCAGCGGAAAATTGAGTAAAAGTGGAAATTGGAAATTAAATTAGCCAAGAAAACCCATGCTTAAAAATAGTGCTTAAAAACTATGACTAAAATTCCCCACCAAAAATTAACCTAACACGTGCAGCCTGAAAAAAAAAAAAAACAATTACAGTGAAACAAATAATATATAAAGTGAAAAATGGAAAAAAAAAACCGTAAAAAGAAAAGAATAATGTGCAAAACGAAAAATTTTAATATATCCATGTATATATCTAGAAAGCTGTTCTGAAGTCAAGAAAGAAACGAAAATGAATTTTTTTTTTATTTGTGGTTCCCGACACACTAAAAAAAAAATAAGATAAACAGTTACATACAAATTAAAAGGAAAAAAAATGATTACGCTAAAAGAATAAATTAGAGTTATTTAAAATCTACCTTTTTTTTCCCTTCTGTAAAAAAAAGAAAAAAAAATTAAAATATATATATATATAGAAATAATTAAATAAATAAATAGAACCTTAATAATAGTATAAAACAAAAATTAAAAATTAATTAAAAAATGGCCAAATTGTGAAGGAAAAAATGTTGCGGAAAAGAAAAAAGAATCGGTTGATATATTATTAAAGTGTATTCAAAATTATCATTTGTGAAATCCCAATACAGAGAAAAAAAATTTAGTATAACCATGCCGATTTAATCTTTTAAAAAAGAAAAGAAGGAAACCAAAAAGTGAAAAAAAATGGAGCAAGAAAGTTTTGTTCCAGCCGACCGTCGCAAAAGATCTTTCGCCACCGGAATTAATTAAGTAAGTTTTCTTTCATTATTATATTTTCATTTATTATGATTTCCTTTTTTTATTTGGTTATTTTCGTCATTGGTTAAAACTTATTTTAATTTAAATTATTATTTGCATTATTTTTTGATTTGAGCTCACTTAATTTTTCTCAGTGTTGCGTTACTGCCAAAGCTCGATATGTAAAGCCAACTTAATAAAGATAATGAGCTTTTCTAGCGAGGGTGGTTTCAAAAGTTTCGCAGTCACTGCAAATTAAAACTTTTACTTTTTCCTTACCGTTTACACTTTTGTTTAATTTTTCATTAATAGTTTTCTTTTATTATTATTATTTTTTTATTTTTTTATATTATTATCCTTTTTTTTATATATTATATTACCGCATTCTATTATATATTATTAACCCCGTTCTTTTCCAGCAACATATTTCCCTGTGCCATTTAAACAAATTATAATTATCTTTGCCATTTAAAAAATTATAATTATCTTTGCCATTTTTAAAAATAATATATTGAAATTAAAACTTAACTTAATACACTGAAAAAAATTATCGAGTAGGAAAAAATTTATTATAGAATTTGTAAACCTAAATTTAAATAAATAAGCAAGAATAATTGTTTTTTGATTATAATGTAAAATAAAAATAAGAAGCATGAAGTTGGTCTCTCATTAAAAAAAAAAAAAAAATAAAACAATACTAAACCATTTTTATTTCTTTTGCCAAAATTAATTTAATTTTTTTTTGGTTTTCTTTTATTTCCCAAAGCAGAAGAAGAATAAAAACAACAACAAAATTTCCTCGTATATGAAATGACTACTTTTTTTTCTTTTTGTGTATAAATAATAAAGATAAAAAAAAAATGAATTTTAGATAAGTATCTCCTAACTGGGGATCATGGTGGTCCAAGGGTTTAGGTATTTTGTAATCATTCCAAGGGATCTTATCGATGCAATGTAGGACCAATAGGATAAAGGTAGGGTGGGCACTTCGCAATTTTTTTTTGCGTAGTAAAAAAGGAATGATGTATTTTTTTTGGCAAGTGTACTCCTTCTCTTTTTTTTTTTGTTTTCAAATTCTTTCCCCTCTTAAGCCTTCTTCATTTGCTATCCTTTCTCTTTTTTCTAAAAAAATACAGTACGCGAATTTAGTTATTTTTACTAGCATTTGAGCATTAAACGATGCGGTTTTTCTATTAACCCACCTCAAGCCGACCAGACTAAAAAAATTAAAAGCCGAGGATACCGCGTGCTCCGCTTATACGTTTTGTCCCTAACATCAGCTCATTCTCCAATAGTTCGTTACATGCTACATCCTTTACAGAAATCAGAGGAAAGTGATCGTTTCTTTCAGACACTTTTTGTTGACTTTTTGGGTCCCTACCCGCGATCTAAACCTGGCAACATAGGAATCTTCATAGTTTTAGATAATTATACAAAATTTCCTTTTCTAAAAGCTGTAAAAAAATTTACAGTTGACGCTATTCTACCATTTTTGGAACAGGACCTTTTTCATTGCTTCGGGGTACCAGAAAGGTTGATTTCCGATAACGGAGTTCAATTTAGATCCAATGCGTTTAATAAACTCTTGCAAAATTATGGAATATCGCACGCCTATACTGCCGCCTATGCACCACAAGGAAATTCCTCTGAACGTGTGAATAGGTCAGTTATTTCAGGTATTAAAGCGTATATTCATCCAAACCAAACCAATTGGGATGAAAATCTAAGTAAAATTTGTTGTTCCTTGCGATCTAGTCTACACACTGCCTTAAATTCTACCCCATATCGATTAGTTTTTGGTCAGCATATGATAACGGATGGTTCGTCGTACAAGTTGTTGAGAAACTTAAATATTCTGGAGGATCGTACCATTCAATTTAGTAAAGACGATTCTTTGGGTCTTATGCGAGTAAAAGCTAAACAGGGCATTCAAACCCAACACGATCGAAATGAAGAAATTTATAATTTAAGGAATCGTGAGGTGTCCTTTAAGGGGTTATATCAAGTTGCAATTTTGAAAAAATCGAATTTTTTTTTTGCCAATTTTGAATATATATATATCTAAGAATATTGTCTGAAAATTTCACAGTATTCCGGTAAATAGTTTTGGAGTATTGAGTGTATTTATAAAGACGTCTCCCACGTAGTTCAACTAGTAGCCAAAACTTTAAATGCGTTTTTCTCGAAACGATGTCTTCCAAGTCGGTGAGGAAAATTTCTCAGAGACGGCTTGTCCGATTGACTTGAAACTTTCACATTCTCTTCTTAGATATTTTTTCAGGTAATGAAACTTGGAATTTTGGCTCCGACAAAAATTTCGATTTTTTTAGCCACTTAAAATTGAAATTTTTGTGCCAAAAACAAAGTTTTATGTTTGGGAAGCCGTCATTTTGTCAAAAATCAAAATTTCCCAAGTCTCATTACCAGCATTTGTCTATTCTTTGCGTAATCCTTTTGGTTTTTTGTATTTCTGATAATTTGGATCAGAGATATCTTCCTCACCGCAAAACGCCTTTTTTAAGTGGACCCTCAGAAGATCCTCTACAGGATCGACGGAAACCATATATATTTTTTTTTGAAAATGTATTCTGAAACTACAAGAAATTATCTAACTTTTCATATACAACACGTATATATACAATAAAAAGCCACTCCAGAAATAATTTACAAAAAAGGTCATTTTTTCGGGCTCGCAACTGGATATAACCCCTTAAAGTAGGTCAGGAAGTGTTCCGCCGAAACTTTCAACAGAGCAATTTCGTCATAGGATTTAACGCTAAATTAGCTCCTACATTCGTTAAATCACGTATTAGACGAGTTGGAAGATCTTCAGGGTAATATTATTGGCAAATACCACGCCAAAGTTATCAAACAATAGATCTTTCGTGACAGCGTGTATCCCACTTGTCTTCAAGGCCAAGTGTGATTTTGGCCGGGAGGTTTTGTAGTGGCGCTTGTCACTTCAGTCCACCAAAAGTAGGCAAAATAAATTTGGCCAAGAATGTTTTGTAAATAATTATTGATATCGTGACTCACCGAAGTGGCAACTCTACACTATCGGCCGCTCCACCTAGCGTGCAGTATTTGCACTAATGCAGATCGAACAGTCATACTTAAAACTAGTCGATTGCGTGGGGAAATGCATTCCTATGCCTTAGCTGGGGGGTACGTCCGCTAAGTCAAGCTTACCCACGTTCTCTTTTCTTCCGGATCGTCCAACGTTACAGACGTAAAAAAAGTGCAGCTCCAAAAATTTAAAAGAAAAACCCAATGAGGTTAAGTTTTTTTGTGGAAGTTTATTGAAATACCCGTCCGCCGCCATCCATATATATAAAAGGAGAGAAATCCCTCTAGCTTTCTGGCCAGACCTTTATTGGTAATTATTTTGATAAAAAATGCCATTTTACATAGTTTTTTTTCAATTCTTACGTTTTATACGTAGATCTGGCACCATGTGCTATTTTGCACCAAAATTAATCTCGCCAATCTTGGCGCTCTTCTATCTTCATGGAACCTAAACTCTCAGCCGCTGCTGTAGCCTGGCTAACTGACTAAAAGGAGTAGCAGAAAAAAAAAAAATAAACGTTTCAATTCCCAAACTCTACATACCGCATGAAATAATTAAATAAAGCGTGCAAAAACAAAAAAAAAAAAAGAAAAGGTGGTAGTGGCTCAAGAATATCAGATACAGTGAAAAAAAAAAAAACGTGTAATCGGTGCGCCCAAAACCACGCGGTTATAACCCCAATTTATTTTTTTTCTGGTGCCTGAAACAAAAAGAAAAGAAAGAAAAATTGGTCGCAAAACTTCCCCGGATTTGCATCGATACCTTATTTTGTTCCTGATTTATTTTAAGTTTATTATATTTGTTATCTTTCAATTTTTTGGTTATTTTCAAAGTTATTATTTTGTAATATTGTTAGTTTCTTCTTATTTTTATTTTTTATTATTTTTGGCTTATTTTCTTTCTCTCATTTATTGTTTTATAATTTTTTTTTATTATTTTCAAATTTATTATTTTGTAATATTATTAAGTTTCTTCTTATTATTATTTTTTATTATTTTGCTTTTCTTTTATTTTTTTCGTTCATTTCTTGTTTTATAATTTTTTGTTAATATTCAAGTGAAAGATGGTGGAGGTAAAATCCATTATTTTTTTTGAGTGTACCACAAGCGCAGGAGAGTGAAATAAAAGTGCAGCAAAATACAGTTACGTGAAACCAAAACCACCCTAAGAGTAGAACAAGTGAAACAAAAACAAACAAACAACCCAAACACTTTTGACTCCCCTACAGGTCGGCGAAAGATCTTTCACCGATGCAACCATAATAAAAGTAAGTGTTAAAAATTAATAATTAATAATAATAAAAAAAAAAAAAAATCATTTTTGGTGAATATGCCTAAGTACTGTTTGAGGCTCTCACTTGTTCTTAATTTACAATTTTTTTTGGCCTCCGCAAATTTTTGTCAGTGTAGTCTATGAGCGGTATCCCGTCTCTTTCTGGCTCATGCGCCCGTATCTACCCACGCGCCAATCGAAGCTGTACTTTTT